TTGGATAAAAATAACAAGAAGCACACATTATGATCTGAAAGTGGATTTCAACGCAATCCGTTATTCATCAGGCCTGTGTCCTCCTCGGTATTGTGATTTCTGTTAATGTATTCCTTTCCTTTCTACTCCATCCCAGATAGGACATATAAAATATAATTCATTCTTTTGCCTCTAATTTCAATCTGAGAAAAGACGAAGGATTTTACCATGCTTTGGAAGGCATTTCATACTCACATTCACTTTGCTCCCTGCTCACCTCCCTGCTGCCTCACGCATCGGTCAAGTCCACTCTTATCCCGGGGATTTTGCCCTTGCTGTCCACTCTACTTGGGACGCTTTTCCCCCAGATATCTTCCCAGGTCACTCCAGATCTTTATTCGAATATTTTATTGGAGAGGTCTTATCTGGCTGTCTGGAAATAGTAATCCCAGAGTGTAGATGGGAGCGGAAGGGGGACAGGTGTGAGGCATCAGTAGTAAACAAAGTAGCCAAGTTGAATGGGACAGGACATTCATCAGAAAGGATGGGCACCCCTTCAGAACCAGTGAGAGGCCCCTTCAGACTGGAGTAAGCAAGGTTGCATAGTATAATGGAGAGAATATGCCTGATTGAGCAGGTGAGCATTGTGGGATTCAGACCTCACTGTGCTGTGGTTGACATGGGTCACTTTCCATGGGCTGGTCACCTGTCACTATGTGCAGACAGATTGTGTATATAGGAGCCAAGGTCATTGGAATCAGTAAGAAGATGTGAATCAGAAGAGCTGTGGGGCTCTGTGCCCTGAGCAGAAATGCTGATGAGTGGTTCTCATGCTGTGTGCAGCCAGCAGCACCTCTCTCTGGAGGGATTAGTGTATTGATTGGCCCCTCAGAGGGCAGTGACCTTGCTGGTGGAAGAAGTCTGGCTAATCCCTTAGTTTCTCTGACAGCAGGTCCGGAAGGATCCTGTTGCCAGGACTCGAGGGTAGTTGTTACCTTGACAGCAGGAGCACTGCGTGCGTCTTTCCTGGTCCCCATGTGATCCTTCTCTGTGACGCTGGTGTGTTTTCACCTGTGCAGACTCGGGAAGCTAGATGGCCCACGTGTGTCCCAGATGTCTTCCTTGGGCAGCCGGCTGGGCCCAGTGGGCTCAGCGAGAACTCTGACTTTGCAGCTTTCTTAGACAGCAACAGATGGGCGTGTGTCAACCAGGCAGGCCTTCTCTGGGGAGACAGCGTGATTTCTGATATGGGCAAAGTGCCGGGTAAGTAGGGGGACCTGCACTTACAGCCTGATGGGCTCATTGGCTGCTCAACACAGGGCACACGTTCGAGGATAATTTGTTTCTTTCTGAAAGTCCATACTTGTTGCTGGGCAGTTCTCAGTGTCATAACCGGAAGTATTCTCCCCTGCCTTTCTCATTCTGATGATTTTTTCTTTCTTCGTATACTCAGATAGGTTGACATTTGGAGATTGCTTGTGCTAAAGGGTTTATGAGGCGACAGGAGTGAGTGCGGGGCTGACTCTGGGGTGACTCTGACTGCTCAGTTCCTCCGTTTTTGCACCTGGGTTCTATTCTCAGAGGAGTCTCCTTTGTGGAAACCATCACCTCTGCTCTTACACTTTCTTCTTCTTCAAAAATTGCATTTTTTACTTTCCATGACGCAGTTTTGCATGTAAAGGGATTCTCCCCTTGCCTCCCCCTTTCCTCCTCCTCATTTCCCCCTGCCTCTATTTCTGCTCCCCCACCACTATTTTCCCCCATGTTAGAGTAGTATACTCCTTTAGTAAGAGTTAACATTCTGCTATTTAAGTAGATCATGGGATTGTGGGTATAGACAAATGCAGGAAGTCTAGTATCCTATTGTCAAGGTATAGTAACCTGTTCACTGGGAGTCCTCCTGTTATTCGGGAGTAGAGATGCTTACTGCAACTATCTTCACTTCTTAGTCTTGTATTTTGTCTTGCAGATGAGCATTCTAGCTGTTCCACAGAGTTTTGTGTAGACTAGTCTCCAGGTCTAACGTGCTTCCCAGTACTTATAAACGCAGATACTGCCATCATAAGAAAGTGATGCATGGATGTGTGGATCTGGTCGCTTGCAGTGTCTTTATTTCCTGCCCCTCATTGCTTCCTTAATGCCTGGTCCTTTTAGATTCCATATCTTAGAAGGCTACAAAAACATTGGGAAGAATGAGATAATTCAAGCTGTGGGTTATGGCTCATTGCTCGGACTTCCCCAACTGGGTTGCTGTAGCTGCCCAAACCAGAAGTCTGTGGCCACTGCAGTCTAGCTGCAGGTGCCAGGAACAGGTATGGTATGGCCAAGCTGGACCCTGGTGGGACTGCATGGATGCTGCCCTCTCTGCTTTCCTTATTGCTGTAGTGCAGCTCTTGTTTCAAGCTCCTGAGCCAAGGATGCGTTTACAAAGTCTGAAGAGTAGTATTTCCTTGTCCCATGTTTTGGTGAAATCAATGGATCCTGGAGTAAGGCTGGTTCACTGTAAAATGCAATGAGTACATCCCAAAGCGCTTTGTGCTGAGTTGAACTGCATTGCGCCTGCTGCAGACGGAGGTGCCACCTGGAATGAAGCTGCCTTGGAGCTCGTTACAGCTGTCGCCAGCACTGTCTCCTATCAGATCCCAGCTAATGTCTTAGCTGAGTTTATTTTTTTTTGAGGATAAAAAATAGACTGTTCCTTTCTTTGGCTTTGGGAGTGGTGGGAAGATTATGCCTCACATTTTCTAGATCAGAGTCAGCTATTAATTCATATATGGGGGACTCACATGTGCTGCAGGATTACCTGGTCCCCCAGGCTTCTTTTGTCAGTTGCTAACTTCACTGCCTTCCACCCCTTAGATTCTTTTGCTGAATATATTTGCTGAAAGAGTACCAGGTGTCTTACTCCCTTTGATGCATATTCTGCTGTTCCTCTTTATGTCTTATTTGTGATTCCTGCAATGAGTCAGGCATATCTCTTTGTAGGGAAAGACTAATTGGGATCAAGATACAACTATTTTCCTATGAAGATGAGGATTCCCAAGTTATTTATTCTACTAGATGTTGTGTCTACAGCAGGAATGCTGTGTGACAAGTCTTTTGCTTTTCCCTGACTTGAATATAGCTGAATTTCAACCCCAGCTAGCCATGGCACTCTGCATGTGCAAGCAGGCACAGTTCAAGCTTGGATTCTTTAAATAGCTCACTCACTGCCCATAGAATTGTCTATCTTCTCCCCATATACCCTGCTATCATCTTGACGTCTGCCTCTGAGCCTGCTCGTTCAGAGCTGCCACCACACCACCCTGTAGCCTTAGCTGTTTGTCAGTGGTCAACATAGGGAGCTCTTCCATCTGGCTTCCCCCCATGGCTTGCTTTCCTTTTTCCTCATGGAGTGTACCTGCATGATCGATTTCTGTATTTATCGCCGCTCTATTGATCTTGAAGGAATATTTAGAAAGTTCAGATGAAATTCAAGCATTCAAAAAAAAAATCCAAGAAAACAAAGATCAATATAATGACTGTCATATAAGCACCACCTACCTTTAATAAATCCTACTGTTTTTCTATCTTTTCTTTTTTGGAGTTTAAAAAAAGAACATGGGCCCAGCATGATAGCATAGAAGTTAAAGTCCTTACCTTGAACACTCCGGGATTCCATATGGTCGCCGGTGCTAATCCCAGCAGCCCTGCTTCCTATCCAGCTCCCTGCCTGTGGCCTGGGAAAGCAGTCAAGAATGGCCCAAAGCCTTGGGACCCTGCACCCGTGTGGGAGGCTTGGAAGAGGTTCATGGCTCCTGACTTTGGATAAGTTCAGCTCCAGCCATTGTGGCCACTTGGGGAGTGAACCATTAGATGGAAGACCTTCTTCTCTGTCTCTCCTCCTCTCTGTATATCTGCCTTTCCAATAAATAAATAATTTTTTTAAAGATTTATTTTTATTGAAAGGCAGATATACAGAGAGGAGAGACAGAGAGGAATATCTTCCATCCGATGATTCACTCCCCAAGTGAGCACAACGGCCGATGCTATGCCGATCCAAAGCCAGGAGCCTCTTCCGGGTCTCCCACGCGGGTGCAGGTTCCCAAAGGTTTGGGCCGTCCTCGACTGCTTTCCCGGGCCACAGGCAGGGAGCTGGAAGGGAAGCGGGGCTGCCGGGATTAGAACCGGCGCCCATATGGGATCCCGGGCGTGCAAGGGGAGGACTTTAACCACTTGTGCCACTGTGCCGGGCCCTAAATAAATGTTTTAAAAAAATTTACACATTACACGTAATAGTCAAAATTTTTCATTACCTTCTCCCATCCCATAACTCCCTCTGTTCTCCAAGTCTAGTCATTCATTTCTGAAGCACATTTTTTTCCTTTTTACTCAGTATTTTAATTCTGAGTATATATGTGTGTATTATATCATTATATAAAATTATAGGTTTTAAAATTAAATGTATTTAGTGAAGTACATAACTGCTGTGATTTGATGGGATTTGTCCTCCGTTTGGGGGAATTAAGCAAGAATGAGTTCCTGTGAAAAGGTGTGTTGGCCTCTCCTTGGTCTCTTGCTTCCTTGCTCACACATCTGCTCTCTCACTATGTGATGGAGACAGGCAATGCCTCAGCAAAGGCCAGCAGCATGCAAACTCAACCTCCCAGCTACCAGAATCATAAGCTATGTATGTCTGTACTCTGTACACTATCACCAAGCATTAGGTTTTTATGTGCTGTCCAGCATCAGATATTTTTCTTAGTGACACAAAACAGAGTAAGCCAATGACATGTTCCAACTGGATTGCTTCTTTCAACCTTAAACCTTTTCAAATGTTGCTATATGCACATGCAAGCTAAAATTGATTCATTTTAACTACTGTTGAGATTACATGTGAAATTATACCACAACACATACATGTATTTCTCAGTGGATAACTAATGTAAGTCCTCTTCTTTCCTGCCCTCCCGACTCTTACATTATCGTCTCTGGAGATACTCAGTGTTTCTCCCTGATTATGTTTGTTGGTTCATTTCTAGAAGTGTTTGGCTGCAGTGTTGAAGGAAGTGAATTGACATTTCAACTAAAGCACATGACAGTGTAAGGATAAGAATGGAGTACCGAACTGTGGGCTCTGAAATAACCACTGAAGATTCCTTATGATTTAAATAGGATGATTAAATTGTTGTGACTGAGGCAGCAAACGCCTAGGGTCTCAGGGTAAGACAACCTGAGTTTAACTTCTGGCTCTACTCCTTTCTAGCCTGTACATTTCTCAAATTCCTCGTGAATGGCTCATAGAATTGTTTTATTTGAGATCATTCACATAAGGCCTATAGTACAGTGCCTGGCGCATTTTAATCATTCTGTCAATCTTTTTAAAAATGAGTGTTGGTTGTTAGCTCAGTTGAATGCAGTTGTCTCTGTTTTGCTGGGAGGGCCTGTGGGGATCTTTTTCAGCATTTGGCTAGAGCGCTGTGTGTGTGCTTATGTGTATTGAAAGAGGGATAGGAAAGGACTTACTAAAAAGCTCTTTTTTTAAAAAAAAATATTTATTTGGAAGGCAGAGCATCAAAGATGATGGCAGAGATGGAGAGAGAAAGAGAGGGAGAGAAAGAAAGAGGAAGTTGCGGGAGAGAAAGAGAGCTCTCCCATGTGCTGGCTCACTGTCCAGCCGGGGCAGCCAGGACTAGGCCAGGCTGAAGGCGCAAGCCAGGAACTCCATCTGAGTCTCCCATCTGGACGGCAGGGCCCCAAATGATTGTGCCTTTTTCTCAGGTTCCTTAGCAGGGAGTTGAATTGGAAGTTGAATTGGAAGCAGCCAGATTCCAAACCAGCTCTTGCATGGGCTGCCAGCATCGCAAGGGCTGGCACACAGCTCTTTAATCACCTGCCTGTCTGGAAGAAATACCCCTTTTCCTCCTTCAAAGGAGACCTAGACTTTTTTTTTTTTTTTTTTTTTTTTTTTTTTTTTTTTTAGTATTGAGACCTCTACATTCATTCAAGGGAATTGTTCAATTTCATAGCATCCTCTTAAGACCAATATCAATAATGGGATAAAAAGATTGCCCTGAAATATATTCTAGAAGAATGATTTGAGGTTCATCAAATAACTTTTTTTCTTTCTACAGGTATCCACACTTGTTTTAGGACCTCTGGCGAACAACCTGAGCAATGCTTGACCTATTGTAAGTTGGAATGTCATATGGGGAAAAAGTTTTATATTTTACCTCTTTTTTTTTTAATATTTAAATTGTTATAGGTTAGGAATAGAAACGGCTTTTTGTTTTTGTAAGCTAATGTTCTGACCTTGCTCTGAGTTGATGAACTGCCTTGGTCTAGCTTTATTAATTTAAGTTCCCAGAGTTCCTCCTGTGGTTCCAGTGATTCTCAATAAATCACTGCTGTTGTCAATGATGGATATAGGTAGTAAAAGTGTATGGAGGGGCCTTTTGCAACATGACAGAAAAATTGTTTTCCTTTTCAAGCTGTTATGGAGACCTATTTGTTGGCCTTAGGCCATTTATGCAACTTGGTCCAAATACAATAGCTTTAAAATCTCCAAATAGAAACAAACTGGTGAGAATTAATGAGATACCATTTGGGATTGTTGGCAACTGTAAATGTTCAAAAAACGAAAAGCACAGAAGCAGGAGAACAAAAGCCTCATCCTGGCCCGGCTAGCTGACAGAAGCGGCAGGTGGCATTGGCACGGAGTCATCTGCAGGCTGTTAACAGTCTCAGGAGCTGAGGGCTCCGTCCTCTGTGGGGAGAAGATCTGAAATGTGGCCCTCGGTATACCTTTCGGTACTCAGGTTTCCCCCATGAATTTCTGATTGGAAGAAAATGTAGCATCCCAAGGAAAGCCAGGAGTGGGATGCAGAGTGAGTGAGAGGTCCTTCTGTAAGGCTTTCACCCGTTGCCGGTCAGGAGCAGCTGGAGAAGTGAGTGGTCCACTATCAGGGCTCTCATCCTGCCTGCATCTGAGCATCCGTGGCTTACATATTGATGTTCAATGGAAAAGACTGCAGGGCACTGAATTGCAGAGATATTTACAAGTACTGTGAGAGCCTGTGCGGTGTGCAGTGGCGTGTCTAGATCCTTCTCTGAACATTAAGCAGTACACATCTATTTTTGGCATCACATTATAAACAGGACTGAGGCTTATTGTGATAAAGGAAAAAATGTTTTCAAGGGGACTTATATTCTGCTCCATCAGTATAATATTTGAAGCTGTAGTATTTTCATGGCTGATTTAATTTGTCAGTGAGTGGTTCTTTTCTGCCGTGAGATTCAGTCCTCAGAGTACATGTTAGGATATGAGGGTATGTGGTCAGATAAAGTGCTAGGATTTTCTTTGATTCAATGTGCTAATAGGGCATATGGATCGCAGATGGCATAGCTAATAGAGTTATCTATTTCCTGTGTCTTTTAAAAAACATTTCACATTGTTTTGGACATTACAAGAAGCTGGATGTGCTCTGCTAAAATATATGTCCAGTTTATGTGCAAGTGAATCTTTGTTCTCCTAGAACAAGCAAGATCTTCTCCCATGGGCTTCAGGCACACCTTTCGGGCCACACTCAGCATTTCCCAGCTTGCTTCTGCTGATTCTTGTTTTCCATATTTTCCATCAGTTTTTAATGGACAGACTACATACACACTGGGTGATTAGGTTTTCATTTTTTTTAAAATACGGAATTGGATTTCTTTCCAGATTGTTGACTAATGAAGCCCAATGTGTTAGTTTTACAAAGCATGTGATAGGAGCATCCTGTATGATCAGAAAAACACTGGGAGCTCGTCTATGTTGGGAAGTGGTCCCACAGCCTGCGGGGTGATCTGGCACACTCAGATCTGTCCCTCTTGCTGTGTGAAGCCGTTTCGCACTCTTCCTGGTGAGACACAGTAGCCGGCAAGCAAGAAAACTCCACCTCCTGGAAAAGACCAACGGGCAGAGCGTTTAATCACAGTGGAGCAGACACGAGTTTCGGGGGGATGTGAGAAGCCAGATGGCTCTGCAGGGTCTGCCAGGAGGTTCGTAGGGCCTGGCGTGGCCTAGGCAACAAATGCACTGTGCTCTCCCTGTCAGATGAGCAGTACTTGGGAGGCGACTTCTGCCTGTTTCGTTTAAAGAGATGGGGCCAGGGTTAAGGAAGAAATAGAACTTTGTAATGCATGTGGAGCCTGCTTTCATGGACCTTCTGGGCTGGTGGGAAAGCCAAAAGTTGAACAAGTGGTATAGTGAGAGATAGGAAAGAGACTAAAGAGGTGGGCCTTGGGCCAGTTGTGAAAACACTTGACTTAGAGTCTCTGGGTTGGTACCTCCCTGTGACTCCTGACTGCAGCCTCCTGTAATACAGACCCTGTAATGGTCCGGGACTTGGGATAATGCTTTAGTACTTGGGTTTCTGCCATTTACATGGGAGAAGCCACCATGGGTTGATTCCTAAATTCAACCATCTGGCTGTTACAGTTATTTGGGGAGTGAGCCAGCAGACAGGAGTGCACACTCTGAAATGAATGAGAGTGAAGGTAAGGTCTAAAGATCTGTAGTGGCGACATTCATGTCATCTGGAGATCGGAGGACAGCTCCGTGGAAGGTAGATGCAGGCTGCAGGAACAGCACACTCCGCTAGAAAAGGGAGGAGAAATCCGTTGGAGAGGGGGCAAAGAGTGAGGTTTTGAAAGCGGGAAAGATTTTGACATATCTGAGTAACTGAAGTGCAAAGTAGACAGTGGGCAGGACGTGGGGCCTGCAGGATCCCTGTGTCCTTTGCTCCCGTACCTTTGGGTACGCCGTAGGCGGCCAGGTGGTTTGTGTGAGTGCAGGATCTGATCTTTGGCAGCAGAGAATACTTCAGCAGAAGCAGGAGGCATGTCTCCAGAAACGTCTCACAGGAACGGAAATTGACCCACGCTTTGAAGTGGGGGATTGAGATTAGAATAGGGTTATCTTTCCAATGTGACGGCTGGTGGCTGGAGGAAGTGAAGATGCGGCAGTGTGGGAATCAGTGGATTACAAAAGTAGATGAGATAACCCAGATGGCACGTGCGGAAAAGGAAGGCCAGACCTGACACAGAGCCGTGAAAACACTGACCTGGAGTTGGCAGTCAGGGAAGCCGCAGTACAGACCCGGAAGCCGCGGTACAGACCCGGAAGCCGCGGTACAGACCCGGAAGCCGCGGTACAGACCGGGAAGCCGCGGTACAGACCCGGAAGCCGCGGTACAGGCCGGGAAGCCGCGGTACAGGCCGGGAAGCCGCGGTACAGGCCGGGAAGCCGCGGTACAGACCGGGAAGCCGCGGTACAGACCGGGAAGCCGCGGTACAGGCCGGGAAGCCGCGGTACAGACCCGGAAGCCGCGGTACAGACCCGGAAGCCGCGGTACAGGCCGGGAAGCCGCGGTACAGACCCAGAAGCCGCGGTACAGGCCGGGAAGCTTTCCGGAGGAAAGCCCGGCGGGAGAGGACGCAATGTGGCAGCCGTGGTGTCACAGCAGCTGAAGCAAGAGTCCTTTGGGAATGGGGTTTGCCATGGGCAGGAAGTGTAAGGAGGTATCAGAAATGTAGTTAAAATGAATAGTAGCTTCATGCAATATTAAAAAAAACAGTTCATACAAAAAATGTGTAAATAAAGATGGGATAGGAATTACTGAAAGTTCTCTTTTTTTCCTCAAGCTCCTATAGAGTTGAGGGACACTGTTACATTGTTGCATTTGAAAGTCATAGTGTCTTTTAAAGATTATTTTGCTCCTGTAGAAAGACATAGGAATCCACAGCGTTAAACGTGGCTTAGAAGTCAGTCAAGTTAAGGGCTGCAATGAGTCCTTGGGACCTAGGAACAATCCATTGTTACCATTGTCACTGAAATTAATTTTTATTGGAGAGGCAGATTTCCAGATAGGAGAAAGAAATACAGAAAGAGAGAGATAGAGATAGAGAGACAGAGAAAGAAAGAGAGAGAGAGAGAGAGATCCTCTATCCCCTGGTTCATTCCCCAAATGACTGCAACTGCCAGAGCTCTGCTGATCCAAAGCAAGCAGCCAGGGACCTCCTCTGGGCCTCCCACTTGGGTGCAAGGGCCCAAGGACCTGAGCTATTCTCCACTGCTTTCCCAGGCCATAGGCAGGGGAGCCAGAGCAACTGGGACTTGAACAGGGCTCATTTGCAATGCTGACCTTGCAGGCAGAGGATCAGCTCACGAAGGCACCATGTCATTGGATCTTTTCTTTTCTTTTCTCTTTTCTTTTCTTTTCTTTTCTTTTCTTTTCTTTTCTTTTCTTTTCTTTTCTTTTCTTTTCTTTCCTTTCCTTTCCTTTCCTTTCCTTTTCTTTTCTTTCCTTTCCTTTCCTTTCCCTTTCGTTCTTTCTTTCTTCATTTTTTTTTTAGAAAAGATTTAACTTTTATTAGAAAGGCAGATTTACAGCAAAAAGGAGCTACAGAGAGAAAGATCTTCCATACGCTCGTCTACTCCCCAAGTAGCCACAACACCTGGAGCTAAGCTGATCAAAAGCCAGGAGCCTAAGAACTTCTTCCGGGTCTCCCACGTGGGTGCAGGGTCCCAAGGCTTTGGGCCGTCCTCGACTGCTTTCCCAGGCCACAAGCAGGGAGCTGGATGGGAAGTGGGGTTGTTGCCAGGACTAGAACTGGAGCCCATATGGGTTCCCGGTGCTTACAAGGTGAGGACTTTAGCTGCTAGGCTACTATTCTGGACCCTGTTACTCTCTTTTGGTTACTATTTGCATGAAATGTCTTGTTTTTTAATTGTTTAGTTTAAAAAAATTTTTTTAAAGATTTATTTAAGGCCTGGCACAGTAGGCTAATGACTAGAGTCCTTGCCTTGCATGTGCAATGATCCCATGTGGGTGGTGGTTTTTATGAATAAATCTAAAAGATTTATTTATTCTTATTAGAAAGGCAATTTTCATTGCAGTTATTTTATTTTTCAGTGCCAGAGTTCCCATCTGGTTTCTCTTTAGGTTTTCTGTTTCTAGTTTCTTCGCAAATTGTCTTCTTGACACTTTTACAATAGATATTTAAGGTAGTAAATCAGACAAAATACATTTTAATTTACATATTTCACATTTAACCAATTTCATGCAAAATACTTGAAGCAAGTACAGGTTTCAGCTACTTGATTATTTCATTGCCTCTTCTTCCATTTCTTTCCTTCTATAACCTCTCGCAGTTACATTCCAGGGCAGGGCTTATGCTCTGCATACTTTGTCCACTGTTCTCCAGGCAAGATCTGATGCCTCATGGTCAGGTCCCGTGCTCTCATCTTGTGAAACATCCTGTAACTACACAGGTTCTCAGAAACGTTCTCCTTCTTTTAGCCTCTTTCATATCTCACTGCTGATGGACTGTAACATTTCATGTTAGCCCCTGTTTTTTGAATTGTATCACATAGCAATGCCATTTTCCAGTGCACCCGGCTGCTGGCCTGTTGCTGAGATGAAAGGCGTGCTCACCATTTTGACCTGAGGACCAGATTCTTGGGTCTCTTTTGTCTTCCAATAGTTTTCACATACTCTTTAGGATAATGTCTTTGTATTACATCTGGTCAGCACACGTTTCTCAGGATGGTATATGTAAGTAAATTTATTTTCTTGGAATGAACATTTTCCTGTTGCTTTGTGTTCCTTGTGGTTTTTGTTGAAATTTAGATTTTTTACTTTAACAATGTAATATCTCCAGAAATCATATTCTCTTCTTCCTTAGGATTTGTTGAAGTTATTTTTTTCTGTCTTGTCTCTCTCTCTCTCTCTCTTTCTGATGAGAATTAGTCTGAGTTGTAAGAGAAGGTCTTTTCATGTCTTTTCTGAGCCTACACTTACACTGACATGCATGATATAGTGTATCCTTTAAATTCCCCTTTCTCTTCCCTCCAAGTCATGTTCGTCAGGGGGTGGGGTCAGTAGCCACTGCCTGTTGGTTGCACCTCTGCGATCACAGTTCCAATCCCTGGAACCCTGGTTCCATATCTGGGGGAGGGAGATAGGTTCTTGGTGGCCTGTATCCTATCTTCTCAGAATCCCTTGCAAAATCTCAGCTCTTAACCTCATGGTATCTGTCATATTAACTTTTAGGTGAAATGAAATCCATAGTTTTATGAGTTAATCTTGAGAAATTCTCTGAGTGTATCTCTATTTTTGGCTAAGTTATAGCTGAGGTTTACAAATACAGACTGGAAAACCACATAACTCAATGTAGTTTCTCAGCAGACCCTTGGGTGCCACTGGGAAAGGTGAGCTGTGTTTTGCTTGTAGGTAGCCACTAGATTGTCTTCCAACAGCTTGCTTCATGATAGACTCTTCAGTTTGATGTGCATAGTAAAATACCAGTTCTCTTCCCCAATAAAGATACTTATCTATACTGCTCATCAAGTGCTCTGCTGCCCTTTACTTGGTCCATACCTGACCTAACAAGTTCAGGTCTTCTCATTCCTAGATACCATTTTACATCCTGATTGCCGTTGGGGTACTTCTGAAGACTGGCAGTGACTTGTCATGTCCTGGCTACCTGGCTGAACCCTGGGGACATCAGCTTTACCGCTCAATGCACCAAAAGGTTAATTGTGTTTGTAGGGTAAGGTTACTCTCTTGTACATCGCATGGATTCAATCTCTGCCTTTAGAATGACCAGCCACCTTGTGTGATTGGGACTGCCCAGGTTTAATAAATGAAATTTTGTTTTCTGGGGAGAACCTAGACAACTACTCACCTAAATTGATCTAGAATTATTCCTGTTCTCCCATATTAAAGCCACTTAATTTTTCCAGGTGTAAGGGTAGCAGGTGACATAGCTAATTGTGCATGTGCATTTTCATGCTCATGTTTTTGATAAAATTCTTAGCATTCAGGGACTGCTGGCGGTTTTGAGTAGGAACTGAGTTGAGAGATTCTGACTTACAACTATCTCATTTTACCGATGAGTAAGATCTCCATCACATTGTCAAGGCTTAACCATCTTTGTTCTGTTCAGGGCTCGGTGGTACCAGATTTCTGTAGTGTCTTCAAGCATCACCTTCCCCACTAATTGAAAACAAACCATTATGTTGGAACATCAGCTACAGTAACAGGAAAAAGTAGCAGTCAGTTTTCAGTTGTCCGATAATCTCTTCCTAATGCCTGTATTTGCGTCAGAGGCATTTTAACCTCCTGTGTCTAAAGTTCAATGTCTCTTACTCATATTATCTGAGTGTGAAAATAAATACGGTCAGGTTAATTAGTATCAATTTTAATACGTTCCTCAAGTAATTTTGCACAGTGCTTTCTGGGAAAAGAAAGAAATCAAAGTTGCTATCTGAGATGATGTAATCTAGAGTAGAAGTTGTACACAAATGAAATAAAGAAATAGACACGGTAAAGAGAGGCAACAATACCTTTGCAGTGTATGCGTGCATTGTGTACGGTGTATGGAGAAAGTTTTTTTTCCAGAATCATACAATGGAGCTTTGTTGTCTTGCCTCCACAGGAAGTCAGAGACTTGGTTCTCAAACAGAATGACCTCGATTGGGCCTTGTGATTGTGTACATCTGGGGGGGAATGCGGGAATCTATTCTCAATAAGCTTCCAAAGTGATTTGGTTGTATCTGGTCAGTGGACTGGTGACGGGACCACTGAGCTGAATTATTTGAAAAGGTTTCACTATTTTTTTCACTTTGGAAAAAATCTCTATGAGGCACTTCTCAGGCAGCAATCACCATTCTTTCTTCAAAGAGCGGGGGAACATTAAGGCAGCAGAGTCATCTTCTGATGTTAAAATGTGAGAAAGGGAGAATATTTACTTTGTAGTTTCACCTTGAGGAATGAATTAAGGCCCTAAACTAAGAGCTGCTATAAAGTGTGAGCAAGAATTCTTCCAGCAGGCACGTGAGCCTGTGCAAAGCAATTTGTCCATTTTACACCTGACTGTAATGAGGGGACAAGGTAGGGCTGGCTCCTGGAAGCTGCCTGAGTCCAACATTGCCAATCCTAGCTTGACGTCTGTGGATTGTATAATCCTTATCAGATAGAGGAGAAATAGCTGGAGTCTTTGTTCATTATTCACTATGGAAGTACTTCTTATTAAGTGTGTGTTTATGTGGCCATGTACGGATACTCAAAAATCCTCTGGGAAACTAACACAAGGTCCCAAGTTCTCAATTAGCAGAGTAGATTCCCCAGCCCTGTCACTTAATGGTATAGCAGAAGATGTGTTTGGCAATTAGCTGCATGAACTGTAAAACTGGAGTCCTGACCACTCACAGTCATTAAAGATCCCAGGGTACTTTTCGTGTGGCAGGTGGAAACCTGGACAAATTCCAACCCTGATAATTAAATTACATTCTGCCCAGCTTCCTGTATACCTTCAGTTGGACTCTGTTCCTTTTCCATCCTTAATCAGAGTGGACTTGTACATTAGTAGAGAGTCACTGGATTCTTAAAGATGCCTGCAATATGGTACCAATGTCCCCTAATGGAAGGAGGAACAGTTGGTAGATTAGTCCTCAACTGACACAACACAAAGGGAAAGTTGTTAGCTTGGTGTTTCAAGAGACATAGGATCACTCCTGACAAGTTGTGCCCCTTGAACATCTCAGTGCCATTAGCTTTCAGAAGCCATTTTTTTTTGTCTGTTCCTTAAATGGAAGGGATCTTTTTTAAACAAAGTAATTAATAGACATGATTTATTAACAGAAGAAATTTATGAGTTTAAAATATATTACATACTAAGATGACTGGTATGAATCATAAGGTAGTGCAGAGGGAAGGCCAGTGAAACAAGCTGGAGGCTGTTGATGAGTTCAAAGTTGTTGTAGATTTTGTCCTCATGGATCCTCATTATCTACAGGCAATCTGCTTCTGATCTACTACTAAGTTTTTCCAAATGAAGGTAGTTTGGGGACACTGTGCTTTCTCTTAACAGTTCTATTTTGCTATTGCCAGACATTTTTACTAACACACTTTTAAAAAAACATATGGAAATCCAGATAGCTGTCCTGAGACTATAAGGGTCTTTGGAAAGCTTACGGGAAAATGCATAATACGAGAAAACTATGCATGGATTTCAAAAATCTTTTGCACCAAAATGAGTTTGTCCTTTAATTCCATGTTCCATGAACCTTGAAAAGTATACTCAAAGTGTATTGTTCTATAAGGCAAGTTTCCATAAGTAATTATGTAGCAGGTTGTCTCTGGGAATTAAAATTCTTTCATAAATGTTTTACACATTTAAATAAGAGAAGATTTTATTTTTTAGATGTGGTTAACAGCAACCTTTTAAAAACTGTTTAATTTATGCAGACTGTGCTTTTAGGGCAACAAGAACCCTCTCTGTATCTGGTTTCCTGAATAACTTGTACAAATTCAGGAAAACAGCACGTACTTCCCGGTTTATATGGTTTGTCACATGCTTCAGAATAAAGTCTAGTTGGAGAATTTATTGTCCTCCTTAATTATTGTTGTTAAGCTAGTATGTTTTAGATGACGACCCTAGTTAAGTGTTTCCTATTTTTAGTAATAATAAAAAGGACCCTCTCCAACAGCCCCTTCACAGAAGACTTAATGTTGGGAATTTTCTAAGCATTTTCCACAAAAATCTCCTCTAAAGTCAAAATGAATATTACTTTACTACAATTGGATTAATGAGGAAGGAAAAAAAGAAATCAAAGGTTAGACAGCCTCTCATTTCCATGGTGAAGGATGCTGTTTCATTACAAGAGTTGTCAGCAAGTTTTTGAAACTGCATTAAAAAAAATTTTTTTTAAGATTTTATTTATTTTTGTTGGAAAGTCAGATATACAGAGAGGAGGACAGAAAGAGAGGAAGATCTTCTGTCTGATGATTCACTCCCCAAGTGACCGTAACACCTGGAGCTGAGTCGATCCGAAGCCAGGAGCCAGGAACCTCCCCCAGGCCTCCTGCGTGGGTAGAGTCCCAAGGCCTTGGGCTGTCCTCGACTGCTTTCCCAGGCTACAAGCAGGGAGCTGGACGGGAAGTGGGGCTGCCAGGATTAGAAATGGTGCCCGTATGGGATCCTGGCACATTCAAGGTGAGGACTTTAGCTGCCAGGCCCCAAGAATTTTAAAAAATATATTTTCTGTCTTTTTTTTTTTAAAGATTTATATATTTTTATTGGAAAGGTAGATTTACAGAGAGAAGAAAAGACAGAAAGATTTTCCATCTGCTAGTTCACTCCTCAGACAGCTGAGTTAACCCGAAGCCAGGAGCCAGGAGCTCCTTCTGGGTCTTCCATGGTGGTGGAAATTCCATGGCTTTGGGTCATTCTCTACTGCTTTCTCTGGCTGTGAGCAGGGAGCTGGATGGGAGGTGGAGCAGTGGGACACACACCAGTGCCCATACGGGGCTAACAAGAGAGAATTAGCCAATTGAGCCAGCATGCTGGGCCTGGAGTGTCTCTCTCTCTCTTAAGTTTTATTTATTTATTTGAAAGGCAAAGTTGCAGGGAGGTGGGAAGAAAGAGTCTTACATTTGCTTATTTGTACCCCAAATGGCTGAAGGAGCAAGGCTTGGCCAGGCTGAAGCCAGGAATCAGGAGCTCCATCTGAATGTCCCAAATGAGTGCAGTGGCTGAAGTGTTTGTGCCATTTTGCACTGCTATCCCAGGCCCAGCAGCAGGGAGTTACATTAGCAGAAGAGCATTCGGCGCCCATCTGGGATGCCGGCATCGCAACCAGTGGCTTCACCTGCCGTGCCATAGCACCAATCCCAAAGTGTCTTTGTTTTTGATGGTCTGGGTATGTTTTTATTTTTTCTTTCCTCTTGAATGCCTTTCAGATGTATAATTCTACTTGTCAGACATTTGCTTTTAGCATGTGAAAGATATTATTTCATAAATCCAGGTGACTTCTTTGGTTAAAAGATACTGTTACTTTTTATGCGTACCACACAGTGGTGTGTGTAGGACCTTGGAGGAAAAATATGAGCTTGAGAGTCTAATTTGGGTTTGGTTTGTTTCAGAAGGACGGGTAAGGTAGGATTGGAAGAGCGGACAGGAAGGAACTGGTGTGCTAAGAGCTGATAATGCGATGCAGAGGACGTGCAGGGGTGTGAAACTCTCCTGTGTGGTTCTGTTGAGCACGGTACTCCTCTTTCCTGCAGACATTCGAAAGCTTGTCTTTTATGGGTCCGTAAGCATGGTAAGTCAGCTTTTTATCTTTGGTAACATTCCAAGTTTTTAAACTCTTTTATTACAGTAGGTGCATTTACTCTCTGCCTTTTGCATGGTTCTTTTTCTCAATTTCTTTTATTGTGGGTTGTTTGTATATAAAAGGCTTATTTAAAGGAATATAAAATTGTCATGATCAGCAAATACAAGCATGGAATTACTATAGTCATGTTCGTGGCCCAAGGTTCCTTGATCCGCCCAGGTAATGATGCCTCACTGTTTTGTGGAGCTGCAGTCCTCTGGAACTTTAACTTACTGAAGAGAAGTGAGTCGTGGTCTTGGCGTTTATGCCTGGGGCAACCAAATGCCGTCAGGTTAGCCCCGATTCTCTGCTGGTTTTTCTGTCTGGTCTCTTTTGGCCCAGTTGTTATTTAAAGCTTGGTTTCCTTGTTGATGCTTTAAAGAAAATTGAAAAGAAAATGATCAGACAGCTTCAGTCATTTGCTGAGTGAATGGTTGGAAAAACTGTTGGACACCAGGAAGATTTCAATGAAATTCTGGAATAAGAAAGTGGATGAAATCGAGATGACGGATACAGTTACATGACAGAATTCTGTCATCCAGTGCTTTCAGGAGAGCACATAGAATTAGAGAAATTCAATTTGTCCTCACAGATTGTTGTAACGTTTTCAGACGCACAGATTCCAGGAAGACAAAAGAGTGGATTTCAGAAATAGGGCCTAAGAGAAACTTGGCAACACAAGCAGTAGGTGCCCATCCCCAGTAGCTTCTGAAAGAACTTAACTCTCAGACACCTCCACATACCGCCCCCTGGGCATCTCCTGGCTTTCACACCACAAACTGGAATCTATTAATAGAAATAATGTACTTAATTATTAATTATTGATATGCTTCCAATTATTTTAAGCAGGGGTGTGCCTCCTGTCAATATGAGCAGGAGATTAAGGAACAGTAAAGAATTACAGAGATAGTTCTCTTTGTAAAAAGTTGAAACAAACAGCATAAATCCAGAGGAAAGGAGGGAGGTGGTACAGAGGACTTCAAATGATGAAACAAAATAATGTCCAGAGAGCGATCAGGACTGTATTTCCCTACAGTAGACACAGAAACAAGGGGGATGTATGAGTGTGAAAGGACAGAACCTGAGGGAAACAGAGATCTCTAGATGGTAAAAGCAAGAACCAAGTAAGTGGGAAATGGAAGGGAGGAGATTGGAAGGGGCAGCCAGCCTCACGGTGTTGGGCATGTTGCATGCTTCACAAAACGAATGGAAAAGACACAGAACGAAGTACATAACTGTTACATTGCAGTATGCTGAGAGAGAGAAGAGTTCCAGAAAGGAAAGACTCCACATGTCCTTGGATTTCTTAGAACCTCACTTACAGTTAAAGGAGCCCCCAGTTTTAAGAGAACGTGAACTCAAACCTAGACTTCCATAGCCAGCAGTCAATACAAACATGATAGAATGGAGACTCTCGAAGGTGCAAAAGGGCTCAGGGATTTACCTCCACACATTGTTTCTGTGGAGCGTTGTTGAAGACTCGGTCTAGAAAAAAGCAAGGGACAAAACTGAAGAATGGAGAAAACTTGGGATGTGGAAGACTGGAAAAGAATCTCAGCATCCCGTGAGAGCTGCTAATGTAACGAGTCTGAATTGCAGTGAGATGCCACAGGGCTCTGTAACAAGTTATTTCTCCCCACATCCTGTCAAATATCGAGTATTATAAGGTATTTTAAAGAGTTCATGGAAAAATGAAATTTAAAGATGTTTATATTAGTGCAAAATTTTTTTGAGGTCCATGTATACAGGTTTTGCTAATATATATTTCCAATAATATATATCTTAAAGTTTTTTCCTGGTCCTGTTACGATGGTTTTTTTGGGAATAAAAACACAGAATTGTTATAATACAAATTCTACAAGAAGAAAAGAAACAATTGGAAGCACCAGGAAAGGCACACAATTCCCTAAGAAAGAAAATGTTCCTGGGTCTTGAATAGTTACTCAGTGAGTACATAGTACTTATTAATTTAATGGGAAATAATTATATAAGCTGTAGTATCCTGGTACATGTTTAACACGCAGCTCACAAAAGTGCATATATTTTGCATACTCACGATTATTGTAATGGTTACTTACAGAAAAGATATATAGCTCACAATAATAAATAATAAGGTACATAAAACTTGATATTGCAAATTCCTTTCTGTAATTGATTCTCACATAATGTTCTCTAAAAATTGTTCATTTTTGTTGAGTTCTTGAAACCATAGCTCAACTCTGGGTTGCAGCTGCCCAAGAATCATACTTGTGATATGAATGCTAGTTGAATTTTTTGCATACCTTCAATAGCTCTTCACTCATTTGCCAATGGTTTGATTAAATTCTTTTCTGGAGTATTTTTGTTCTTTCTTTCTTTCT